ATGTATGTACTCATTTAATAAGATATAAAAAATATAAAATATAAATTATTTGCATATCATTATCCTGCATAGTATTTTTCTTTTTCTTTTTATTAAATTACTCTACATAGTATTAGTAATATATATGGGAAAAAGCAGTGTTATAAATATCATTTCGTATTGGCCGATATAACTAGTACGTATCAATTTTTTAAGTTGATTAAAACAGTATAAGATAGAATTCCATTATGGTCAAAATTTGGATGTTTTGGTCAAAATCTGGTGTATCGACCGACACATCGAAATTTTGACTGATACACACATTATGTCCAAATTTAAAAAAAAAAAAAAAAAGGATTCCCTAGCCAAAATGACATTGTTTTGGCCATGGGTTTCTTAATTATCCTTGCAATTTTAGATTGCAGTGTTGTCATCCTTCGATCCTCGACCCTGATTTCTTGCTTGTGGTGCAGTCATTGCTCTCTCTTCTTGTTTCATGAATCGCACGCCCTAAATCTTGGACTTGGAGAGTGATTCATAGGCTAGGGGCTTCTTAATTAACCCCTGCAATTTTTGCAATTTCAAATTGCCATTTTCCAATTGTCCTCAACCTCAAAGTGTTGCTAGTGGTTCAACTGTTGCTCTTTTTTCTTGTTTTGCGAATCGCACGCCATAGATCTTGGAGAGTGATTTGTGGGTGGAATCGGAAGCAGGTGCGACTTCGTCTCGTTGTTAGCTCTTGCAACTTCAAGTCTCATTAGAGGATTCATGCTGTCAGAGTCAACTTTAATTCCATTGATGTGACTCCTGTTGAAACCTTCAAGTTTGCCACAAACTACTTCTATAAGGAGACTTTTCTCATTAAGTGTATTGAGAAGGTGACATTTAGGCTTTCTTTGTGTGTATGATGCAGTGTGGCATTCTTTTGCTTTGTTTTGTAGCTTAGTTTTTACTTTTGGTTTGTTTAAGCTTTTGAAAGGTTTGGTAAAGCGCAAGGAATTCAATTTTGTGCAGAAGAAGAAAGGTTAATGGTTGAAGAAAGAAAGGATTGTTACCTTGTCCCAAATTACATTAGTTTATCTTATAATTATTTAAAAATTTGATATTTAATGTATAAATATATATATATTTATAGCAATAAATCTAAAATAATATGCAAAAAATTTTAGTATCCGTTATGTACCATTTCAATAGTAAAAGTAGTACGTCTACCGATATAGTATTGACAACTTTGGGAAAAAATATTGTGCATTCTAAACTTTACTAGACTACACAACTAAAACCATTGAATAGGGCATTGGGGGTCCACCCCCATTTAATGGCATATGTTTCACACTCTAGACTATAAAATAAAGACTCATATATATGAATGTAAAATTAATTTTTTTTATAAGTGTTTAAATCATTGTGACTACAAAAATGAAAAAAAATGTAGTACATTGGGTCCATGTAGGAAGAGGAAAGAAGATAAAAATAGATTTATATCATCAACCCATATAAATCAATGTTTTAACTTCCACTATAAAAATCAAACCAGATTGGACAATTAAACTACCACCCACTAACTTAAACAAGTCAATAGACACCTAAATCCATTTTGGTGATTGGACTACCCAAACATAATAGAACCACTCAAATCGTACAACTCGATAGGAGCAGTAAACATGCTAGGCCAATTAAAAATTTTTGAATTTCTTCTCTTGTTTTTTACAATCTTTTATTGATTGTGGGTTTTGTATTCATTTTTGCCCCTTTACCTATTATAATTTCACAATGAAAAACAAAATCTAAAGACAAAAAGACAAAATTAAAAACCCTAAAGCTTTCTCATTGACTCTTCCTCTCCATGACTCTATAGTAGAAGCAAAATGTCAAAAGAATGCTCCTCTAGCTCCTTTCTCCTTTGATTCTTCTTGCCACAAAGAAGATCAGACTTCAACAACACCTCTATCATGCCTTCATCAATCAGTGTTTACTGTTCATCAAAGGGTTCCATACTATCACTATTTTAGTTTGTTGCCGACAATGATTCTTCTCCTCTTACCTTGTGTTGTTCGAGCCAACAACAAAGATTTCTTAAGTGGTTCCAATTTTGACATGATTTTTGTATTTTTTTCAAGTTTGAAGCACGACTTTAGCTTTTTACACAATTTCTCTCTACCTTTCATACAACCTACAACCAACCCAATACATGATTTTTGTTGATAGGTTCTTTGTTCTAATTCTTTCAATCTCTCCTCTTAAGCTTTCAACCAATAGAGGGTTATTCATTTAAATTTAGATTTAAAAAAAAAAATTAAGATGACTTTAAGTTGCTTACTTGTTTTCATAACATTTCTTCTACTGTAAATTGCTTTAATTGTATCTTCTAGATCCTTGAGTTGAGTTTGGATCTTATAGAAGTTCTTCTCTATATCATTTTTTAATATTCTAAATATTTCTTCCATTTTAATTTCTAATTCCCTAACTCTAGATATTAAGGTTTCTAAGTCTCTTATAGCCTAAATTTCTCTCTTTAGTTCATTAAGATCTCTAGAATTCTTCACATTAATAATTCTTTCTTTAATAGAATCAAATTCTTGATAAAGAGTTTTTTCCATTTCTTTTATTCTTTTAAGGTATTTTTATTGATAGTTTTAAGTTCTAAAACTTTATCAATGATATTTATATCTTCTATGCTAATCTCTTTTTTATTGAGTATATTGAGTAACTACAAGTTAATCCACTTTATTTGCTCATTATTCATGCTGAGTGGAGTAAACCAATGACTTTTCTAAATTTAATAATTCTTTTTACTTCAAATTTAACATGTCGATTGGTTAATCATACATATTCATCATCTAAGTTCATTCTCCTATTCTCGTAGATTTTTTTTGTCTTAACTTAGATAGGAATTTATTTTTAATCTCAACTAGAACTCTTTCTTTAGATTAAACTAGTAATTTGATTTGATTACAAATATCTAATATTATTCTTGTATTTGGTGCAAAGTTATCCATTAATTTTTAAACTTTTGGGACCAAACTATCACCTTTTTAATTCTTTAAAAACTAGTCATGTAAATTTTTATTCTCAATTTAACAAAAAGTTGATGGATTCCATTCATCTAAGGGTTGAAACCTACACACGTTTAAGTTGAAAGACTGAAAACTCTATATTGTAAGGCTCTAATGATGTAAGGGGCTTGTACTTTGGCCTAATTATGGTAGATACTTAAATTTAATATTTTTTTCATATTATTAATACTTCACAAAAAAATGCCATGCTTTGTTGCCTCATCCCATCACTGGAATTCTCATGGAGGTCCATATGAATTGGGCCAATCACTAGATTTGTGCTCCATTGCTATTATAAATGTGTGTTTTCAAAATTTTCCTAATTTTATGTAGTGCAATATTATAATTACAATATTATTTAAAATTATAAATTTATAATCATGACATAACATTTAATGAGTATTATATAATTTTATTTGAGTGGATACATATGATATTACAAGTGGATTTATAAATAAAAAAATCAACTATATATTGATATATGATATTATAAATTTATAATATCAAGTAATATTATAATTATAATATTTTCATTTTATGTGTTGTGTACACACTTGTACTTTGCCTTATGTTTTACATTAAAAAATGTTTAAAAATATATATGTGAACAACATTTATTTTTTAAAAAAAAATCTATCACAACAACAACAACTCGTGTTAGAAGGGTAGTGATAAAATGAACATTGAAAATGACTTAATAATGACCATCATAAATAGTGCCAAATGGAAAGCAGTTTATTTATTTATTATTAATATATTTTTTTTATGATTACCGAATGGAAATAAGTTAAAAAGGATGCCATTAAGTTAACATATACCATAGAGCAAGAAGAGGGTTTCAACCATTTAAATGACCCTGTTAAGGTGACAAGATAGAGTTCACATTCATACGTTCATTCTTAATTATATTACCTAACTAATTAAGAGTTAGGATCTACTTATACACTAATATAAAATCTTCATAATTTCTTTTTTATTTTTAATGGTTGAAATTTATTTATTTTTTATCTTGTTTAATAAAAATAGTTTTTTTTCATCTAGAAAGTTGTAATAAATCTTAATTATTAAAGATAAAAAAATAAATGATTAAAATTTTATGTAAATATGATACGTAAAATTTATGTGTGAGTAAATCCCACTTAATAATTAAATAGATTAAAATGTCATGCTTTGATATCTTTATTTTAATGAAAAAACCCCTTTTTAATCGCTCTATTTAAAAAAAAGTCCCTTTTTTATGTCAAAGTTATTATTTAACCCATTTTTAATCTCTCAGTTATCATTTTGTACTCATACGCGACAAATGACAAAAACTTCATAGGAAGATTAAAAAGAAGTTTTTTTTTTTTTTTTTATAAGTAGAGGGACCAAATATGAGTTTTTTTTATTTTTTATTTAGTGTTTTTACTTTAGAAATTACATCATCTAATTCATTATATATGTAAAAAGATAATGAAGGAATTAAAAATAAGTTAGATAATAAATTTTAAGGACTAAAAAAGGATTTTCTTAAGTAAATGACTAAAAAAAGTTTTTTATTAAAGTGGAAAGATTAAAATAAAGTTTTAACCAATTAAATACAATAATATTATAGTTATAATATCAATAGAATTATAAGTTTATAATTCTGATAGGTTATTAAATGAGTTTGATATGTTATTAAATAAATA